CTAACTAAAATGTGAAAAATCCCCACTAAACTGTTTGATGAAAATTTAACTTTTATAGGTTTTCCACACATAAAACCATTACTGTTATTAAACATTTCACTGTAAAAAGAAAAATTATAATGTAGACAATACATGTATTTATTAGACCCTGTTATTCCTGAATAGAGAAAACTAATCAGCTTACTCTGGAATATCTATGAGTAATCATTTAAAACTTGTATGTATATATATTACAACAAGACTCACCAATATATTCTGAAACAGAAGCATTGATAATCAGGTGGCACAGACAACCTTGCATATCAGCTGACCAGATATGTCCATAATGGCTGTCTATCCACAGCAGTTGAGGATCACCACTCACTGTATGGTCAAGAGCTATAGATTTTTCAATAAGTGGATATTGGAGACAGTTGCACTTTTTTGATGAAAGTATATTTTCAGAATCATTTCCCACTGGATTGTTTTGGAAGAAGAATAAACAATGGCGAGAACCATCAGCATCACTAGTCATGATTTCCCAATTTCCAGTTCCATTCAAGATAGTGTAAATTAGAGTTCTGAAAGAAAAAAAAACTATTAATGTTTGCTTTATTTTTGGTAACAAAATAATTAAAACAAATGGCTCATAAAACTCTACAGAAAAAGCTATTCACTACAGAAAGAAGTATAGGTATCTATGAAGTATGTTGCTCTGGTAATATATAACATATAAGCTCATACCAGATAAATAAACTCCATACCATGACTCATATCATATGAGAAAATCCACATCATGACTCATATCATATGAGAAAATCCAACCATGACCAGTTAAAGACTGCAAAGTGTAGCAACATTAGTTCTCTTCACATTTAAGGAGCTATCCAATGTAATTTAATGTAGGTCAAGCTTTATTTAGCAATAACCATAATCCTTTCCATTGAGAAAGTGTTCAAGACTGTCTAGATAGATCACACATTCATGATTTTCTACCTTCTTATTTTATAAATTGAAACCTATAAAACATAGATAAAAACTTGTTTAAAGATCTGTATAGATGTCATTAAAAAGTTTGGAAAAGAGCCCATGCTCTTGAGACAAGACCCACGTGATGATTGTTTGTTTCAGAATGTTTGTGCAAAGCTAACAAAAGAATTATATGGACTCAAAGGAGGGCAGATAGTTAACAACACCCACTGTCAATTATCGGGCTTTTGCTGATTATATAGTGTAGTCTGACCATTACTCTTACAGTGCACACATAGCACCAAAGTGTAAAGTTGACCATCAGGATATGATTATCACTCTTACAATGCACCATGGCCCCAAAGGGCAGAGTGCATTTGTTGAAGAAATGGGCCCCAAACAATGAATCCTTTGATTTACAATTCAACCAAACTAACCACTAAGCCACATCTAGTCCTTGTAATTTATGATATCAGCTTAAATAATAGACAAAAGAAAATTTTGTCAAAGAACTGTCATCACACACACATTTTGAACAAGTACTGAAAAACTGTTAAACTATGTTGCTCTGAAAACGAATACTCTAAGATAAAAATGCCACATAAGATTAAAATTCACAAGTAAATTTTCAGTCTTGAACTCTAATCAGATACATTATTATCTGTCTTCTGGTGAATGAATACCAAACCTCCAGTTCCAAACTACTATAGTAGTTAGTTCGATGTGAGTTTTTAAATGTTTAGATTGTTTGTGGAATTATAATATTAAGTTCCATGCAGAACTGAAACTTATGTAGTAACTAGATTATGTTTTACCAGTATTATAGGTTTTAGTTGTATTGAATTGATGTTATTTGTTACACCCATAAGATAGTGAATTGAAAAATATTATGTTTAAGCATATCATTACAAGCCTTTTAAATGCTTAAAAGTATTTCTGTTATATTTTTTATCAAAAAACAAGTTTCAACACCTGACCTATGTTATATAGGTTTCAAAACCAATGAAGCTTTATATGTTTTTAGGTGGGAGTGAGGTACACTACTGGTGTAATTCTTAATCACTAAGTAGTAACAACAATTTAAATGGTATATTTCAAATTCGATAACGAGGAACCCTCTTTGAGACTAATAATGGCTGGAGACGGCTTGAATGATGACAAAGTTTTGTCGAAACGTTGTACATTTGCTGTTATGTTAAACTTATATTAAAGTTTTTCTTCATTACCCATTCAAGCCATCTCTAGCCATTATAAATGGTATATTTGTTTTACTTTTTTAAGTTTGCTTTAAAGTTGCTTGTCACAGAATAGTAAACAATCATTGCTGATGAATGTTTATGAAACAACAAAAAAGCACTGTTTTAATCATCACAAAGTTACAAACTGAGTCTTTACTTTTTTCTTTCTCTTAATGAGCACTTTGTGAATTTACATAATCAATAACAAAAGTTTACCACACAAGAACACAAAAGTAGTACATAGTGTCAATGGTGATATTTCAATGATATGTCATTTATTATAATATATATTTCTATTTGGATAACTTGCTATTTCAATTAGAATTTTATGATTTTAGTGTCATGGGAAACAGCATATTTGTAAGACATAAAACCTTGTACAATATCATCTTTGTACCAAGGTAGTATGGTGGTGAAACCATGGCAGGATCACAATAATGAAATCAGAGTAGCTTTTCAGCACTGTTTCAAGTACAAAGTACAGAGAGAAGGTGATAGTCAGATTCTAAAAGAAACTATGTAATGACTGACAAAATAAAAAAAACATATATATATATATATATCCTCAGACCTTGAAAATGGGTTCACTTCTATAGCTCCAATCATTGAAGTACTGTTGATTACTAGTTCAGGACTTTGCTCAGGAAAAAGAAACATTCTCCATATGGTACTCTGTTGATGTCTATTTTCTGACCAATATATACATCTTCCTAGCCAGTCTATGGCAATGTTATTACTTTGATGTGGTAGCTTATACACCTACACTCAAATTAAAAGAATAAGAATTAGCACACACTATTATTAATACACATATTTATGAAAATGGTTGTTTCTCTATGTAGTTATTCAGTTACAAACATATTAGCTGCAGTGTCATAAATAGAATCTGAAAGACTGTATTCACTGCATTAGGATTATAAGTCTAGAAGTACACTATAGAGAAAGGCTAGAAAAGTATAGACACGTAAAGACTTTCACAAAATTTTCATATGAAGGTTATACATGGCCTTGCAAGACCTTTATATAAGAATAATATAGACTATCATTTACAATAACAGTTCAATTAGGGTATAGAGAATTGTAAGTATCAATGAAAAGGAAGAGAGACACAAATTGTACTGTAACCATGCTTACCTATACCCTTAGGCTGCTTTTAAGTTTCTATTACATTAGAGCCTTATGCTCAAATTTTGATAAAGCATCATTAGCTAAACATCGAAGCTTGGAGCTCATTACTCAGTAATGCAAATTATTGTATTCTAAATTATGAGTTTAAATGATTGATAAAGATGTTAAAAAACATTATGCATGCCAAGACTTCAAAATAGATAGACTAACAAAGAAAACAATTTGTGTCTTTAAAGAAGATAAAAAATACAAACTTTATATAGTTATAAACTACTAATTTCTAAACAGTTTGTAGGATTTCATGTTTCTGGTTGTGATATACTACATGCTTCATATGAAGCCTCTTTTAAGCTCAATGGTCACATTATATCTAAATGTATGTTGACTATTAAGTACAGAATAACCTTTTTTTGGATAATTATTATGGTGAAACTTTATGATTAAACTAAACATATTCTATAACAGTATGGTAATCCCACTTTTTTCATTTTCACAAATAATAAAGTTTTTAAGCAGAAAAAATGTTGCAATGTAATTTTTTAACATACGTAATCCATATTTCTGTAAAAAAACAAAACAACAACAATTTTATATAATGAATCACTCCTTCAATGTTTAAGAAAAAGAGGGAGAATTACTAAATACAGAACAACCTGTTTTTGGATAACTTTTTTGTGATGAAACATTACAATAAGCCAAAAAAATATTTTCAAACAGTGTGGTAATTCCAAAGATTATCCCAGTACACAGCTACTTGGTTTTCACAACAACTAGATATTCAGGGATCTAGTATGTGGGAAGAAAGGTGTAGTGAAAGAGACAAGGCAAGGTGTTGAAGTCAAAATTGAAATAAAACTTTATTTACCAAAAAATAAAAGGTACGATCAGATGGAGACTGGACTATTTCATTATAATATTAATTAATAAAATAAACTGTATTTATCTGCAGGTAAATTGAAGATTGTAGTCAAATAAATAAAAAAAAAACAAAGCACAACCTAACAGCAGAATAAAGAATGTAACAAAGAGAAATGATGATAGGACTTCATTAGCATTCATGATTCAGCTTCTGTCTCTAGATGACCAATCATAAAGCTAGATCACAACAAACCAAAAGTATTTCTGCTCAGTATGTCAGTGGTAAACAGTGGAGAATTTCCATGATTACACCCTGCTACAAAACGTACACTTATGTCTTGATTTAGCTTAAGCCTTAAGCAGATTTAGGACATCCAAAGTTCAGTTTTCATTTATTAAAAAGTTTAGATATGAAAGATAAACTAAGGGAGAGAGATATGTGGTAGTTATATACAACTACACTATTTTTCACTAACTAAATGGGGGTTTGTAGTATGAAGAGCATCCCAACCATAGAGTTTATGTTGTAGGCCACTGCTTACATAGACTTGAGGTTTCAGTTGATTTTTATACCAAATCTAAAATTAGCTGTCACTCAATCAAACAATGCAACAAAGAAACTCTAAAATGATGGTGGTCATGCTGCCTTGACCAATGCTCGCCACTCACCTTCCACCTCCCACTTCTGCATATCCACATGTAAATGATTATGCAGCAACTTTCCACCAATAGGAGTTTGACACAACTCCTATCGTAACCAATGCCCTCTCCATATTTGCACTCGTTAATTACTTTGAGATTGGTCAAAAGACCTACACCACATATTACCAGAAGTGGGGAAGCTGGATGGGAAATGTGAGTGGAGATAAGTATCTATCGGAAATACATTTTCAGTTTAGGAAAATGTTAACTTCTTATACATCTTACCTCTTCTCACAAAATATTTAGAATACCACATTGAACTGGTGGAGGGCTGGTGAAAAAATGATCTCCTTTAGGAAGTGCCCATAGAGAGAGAGCATGAGGTGTGGAAATAAAAAAAAGAAAACAACACACCTCAGTGGGAGACCACACCGCATCTGATCCAGGTATACTCTTTACCCTTTTATGACTGTGTGTGAACATAAAAAGTGGAAAAATATGAAGGAATCCCATAATACGTATTACCGATGAACGAGACCCCTTGGTGTCGAGTGGCTATGGCATGATAGGCCATAATGGTAGTTCAACCTCATCCAATACCTGGCAGTATCTGGTATTGTACATCAAATCCACAGTCGGCAGAGGATCACCCACCTCTCCACCTTGAAATGGGAATTGGTAGGGAAGATGAGCTTCTGTACCAAAATCCGTTTCCACTTGTGCACACTTCCAACCCAACAAACACTTGATCCACCATGAACCGAAATCCTGAAGATGGTAGGAAGGAGGAAATCCCCGGTGGAATGACTTCTCTGGTCCAAAACCTGGCAGCATTTGGTATAGTTCTTCCAGACCATGGTAGGAGGAGATACCCGGCTGTACACAAGTGGGAATACATGTGCTGAGTCCAGCTACAAACAATGGCAGAGCTGTCAGGAACCGACATCCAGCAGATTGTAGGAATAGGGACTGTATACCTGGGGTGCATCTCCAGTCCAAAACCTGGTGGCATTGGGCATTTTTCAACCAGTCCATGGCAGGGGGAGGATACCATCCAGAACACATGTGAGGACTTACTTAGCTGGACTATCTCCAACCAACACTTGACCCTCCCAGGAACAGCAACCAGAGGATGGTAGGTAGGGAAAACATCTCAGCTTGAGGAGCAAACTGCAATATATATATATATATATATATATAGTCATGACATAGTGGAGTGCTTCAACCAAAACTGGCGGTATCTAAAATTGTACATTAGGACTGTGGTAGGAAGGTCATTACACTATTGACACAATTATAATTATGACCAGACTATCTCCAACCAGCACCAGACCCACAAGGAATGTACATCTGGAAGACTGTAGGAAGGAGGAATGCCATAGTGGGAAAAAGCAATCTGCCAGATATATACAGATATTAATATAGTGTAGTACTACAACCAAAACCTGTCAGAATCTGGAATTATACATCAGGTCCATAGTAGGACACCTGCCGAATGCCACCACCCTACTCTGAACTGAATGGCCAGGCCTCCATAGTCTACCACCCCAGCGGCTAGGAACTGGTTTGTGGCAAGAGTTCCCATACTCCACTACAAGAAAGGAGGGAAAAACACATTGGAGAGTCTGGAGGACCACTTTACCAGAGACAGTGCAACAGGTGACTGTGATACCCTATTTTGAAAAACAGAGTTTCCACGTCGAAGAAGTCGATCAACCAACAACTTGCAGTATTTGGAATTGTATGTCAGGTTTGCGGTAAGAAAAGTCTCAATGCCACGGAGCATTACAGAGGGGTAGCAATCCCTGTCTGCTTTACTCATCTGTATCCATAAGTGTACGGTCCGGGACAGACATACTTATGAAGCAAAAGATCACTAGAATGAACTACTAGCAGTCCTATGGAACACCCCATCTCTATGATGTGTGCAACCAAATCCTGCGATTTAATTTTTTTAAGCTATTTTGTGAGAAGAGGTAAGATATCATATCAGAAGTAGTTTTCTTTAAACATTTTGTAACCTTCAAATTTGTATAATAAGCTCAAGTTTTATAAACATCTCTATGTACCTAAAGAAAGATATCCTGTTTGTTTTTTAAATTGCTTTCACAATTCATATCATTTTAATATTTGTGAGAAAAAACACGATATATAAATACTTTGGCAATTGTCTTGTAATTTACTCTTGAGGATGACGTTGCAACGTCAAAACACGTAGAGTTGTCAACTTTTTTGAAGGCCATAGATAGGCCTAAATAAAATGTTTTTTAATTGTGTACCAGTTTAATGTTGAATATTATTTATGATTTTAACTTTATACACAAGTGCCAAAATGCTATAATTATGATTATTTTTGTCAAGAAAAAAACAACTATCAAATGACAGCAAATATTTTAAGAAAATAATATTTTCAACAGAATGATGGAAATTCAGATCTTTGTTTTATAGTTAAATATGTAAAATAATTACCAATGATGTCTTGTTCTGATGAATCACTGACATCATCAAAGCTCCATCCTCTTCAATCCAATAAACAGAATTATCAAACCCAAGATATGCCACATCCACAGGCTGAGATACCTTGTTAGATAAATACACTTCTTCATGGTTATCTACATCTGTTAGTTTGATACTGTTCACACTGGCTAACAATAACTGTGGCACAGGATTTTCTTCTGACTTTGTATACTGAGTTATCTCACTCATTGGGCCTTCTCCTGCAGTTGTTCTTGCAGACAACTGATTCAGTTTAAAAGTAAAAGTTATTATTTTGAATGAAAAGGTAGAAATAATGAAAAATAAAATAGGTCTATTTCCCATAATCATAACTTCAAGAACAACATTTTCAAGAAATAAGTTAAGTATATAATAAATGTACAGTCAAGTGTTGTAGAAAATTATAATTTTCCTTTAAAATATACTACAATAGAAAATTAAATTTTGTGTAAAAACAGTTACTCTAATAGTGTTCACTTTAAGTTTACCTTAAATCTGATAATGCTATGTCAGATTTAATAACAGGTTTTTGCTTAATATGAAATAAGTACTAAGTAAAAAAGTTTTGTTCTAAATCTTACTTATGACAATGAATATTTTTTTATATCTTTCAAATCAAAGTGTTTTTCATTTTATGATCTTTTTATTAGTTATTAATAATTCTGCCTTTTTCGAAAACAAAAGAATTGAAACATAACGCTTACATGTCTACACTTTTATGTTTATCTAATGTACAGTGATTTAGGTATTGTTTACATACATTTCACACCATTTAAAACTCATACATATATCATTTTACAGCTACTAAGATTTAAATTAATTAAGATACTTATACATATTTATCATGCTTCTCAATAAAGCAGCAAGTCTGTAAGTAAATCTCACCTTGAAAAAGCATGTATCATTTGGGCTCAGTGGTGTTGTGTTAAAGTACAGCTGGTTTCCTGGAACTTGAATGCATGGAGTGAGGTGCTGTATACAGATTGTGTATATTTGGACAATTCCATTACTTTTCTCAGGAGGATCCCAACGAAACTCAATTTCTATGGAATGTCTGTCATCAAATGGATTGGAATGGTGGGTTACAAAGACTCTTGGGTGTCGAGGTGCAGATGGCACTGTAAAATAAAATGGTAAAATTTTAAAAACTTATTTGTCATGGTTCAGATTGCAATTATAATTGTCTTTATAGTTATAAAGAAACTTGTTTCTATTAGGATGTACATTTGAAACATTCAGTACTGGATTTCAGAGACATCACTGTTATGGCATACATGTTTCTATAATATTTAATGAATTAGATAATGCAATAATAAAACTTTTAACTATTGTGGTTTAGATAACACTATCAAACAAATATTCTTGAAATCAAGATACAGATATCAGTAAAGCAACATAATGTAGGAAAATTGTTTTATGCACTGGGCTTCATAAACACAAACATATTTAACACACTGTCTTTAACAGTAAAATAAAATAAGTAATATGATTTTACAAACAATAGCATATTATTATTATGCTAGTAAAACCAATTTCAAGTTTCAAAAATTGTTTTTGAGTTTTTGTAACCATATAATTATAGATGGAGGCTCATATTAGTCCAAGAACTGACAGGAAATCTACTTAGATTAAGGAGGTCAAAAGGTTTGAACATTAATTCTTGTAGAAAAATGTATGGGGTTTTCAAGAATGTGATCCTTTTACACCACAATCTAAAAGTTTTGCTACTAGAGGGGTGAAAAGTGCCATGATATCCTCAAAATTTAACCTCAGAACTCCTACCTTGTTTTTTTACCACGAGCACACCCTAGTGATTTGGCAATATGATCACAGGTGTTATGATTTTTATGTCCATGATCAACCTATATGTTCTAAACATATAACATGTAGTTACATTGTTTTTTATTTTTAATTGAATATATTAATGAGGTACCCCTATAAATTACTTATTTTTCAAAAATAATTATTTTTAGTTATAATTAACAATTATTCAACCAATTGTATATATTTTACTAATCTACACCTAAACTGTACACATTCATATATTTATAGTTGTTTTTCATTCATAAAAACATTGTTTTATTGCATTTAGGTACTAAAATAAACAATAATTTGAAGAACTCAAATCAATAGTATTGGTAACTTTTGGACCAATATTTACAAGTTATAAATACTTTTAAGTGCAAAAAAGTGTAAAAACAACTATGTAAGAGATTGTTATCAAAAATCGAAAGTCAAAAAAGGATATCTTAAAAACCTTAGGAGTTTAAGGATAAAATGAAATACTTGTAAAGAAAAAAGTGAAAGATGGGGTGGCAAGAATTTATGTGAAACTGTGAGAGTTATGAAGCTGAAAAAAAACAACAGTGGAACTGTTGGAAGATCATGCGCTACTAATCAAAGTAGGAAACACTGACTTTATTGCAAAATAGATGTGATATAATCAAACGTGCAGAAAACAGTATGTGAATATGTATAAAAAAGTTTGTCAAAGATAATGTGATACTCCAGGCTCTAATACTTCAGAGGAAGTAGCTGTCAGGCATGTACATGATAAAGCATTCATTCACACATTTTCAACGAAAGCAGACAGAGTTGCTGGACTCAACTCAGAGTAGATAAGTTCTCAATCTTGTTGAAAATGACACAGCTGAATCCAATATCTATACTGCCCACATGCTTAAATACAATCTACTAAATCATTTCAAATACAAAATATGTATATCCAAGTTTTTATACAAGCATGAGAAAGTCATCTTCTCAAACTCACTTGATCAAGAGTCTGCTATTCAAAACAAGTAATTCCCAGAAGCTTGTGAGGTCAGTTCAGTTCCTTTTTTACATAGAAAGATAATAATTTAAGGCTAAAGAACACAAGATCTGAATTACCATTTCCTATACCCACTGAAGAGTTAGCAGAGGGTAAAGCAAAACTACCAGCTGATCTTCTCAAGTGTTTTCAGATGCTATATGTAGAAAAGGATATAGAAGTCCACGATAGGTGCTGTAGTCTTTAGCTAATGATGTGTTATTTACAACCTCAAAAGAGATCAATAAACATTCAAAACATTTGTGTCTTGCCTCAAATTTAAAAAAACATAACTGGAAGCAGAAAAGTTGTTGACATTGTTAATAGGCTTGACCACTGTATCAGCTACTACAATTCAGAAAGTTTGGAAATTGGCATGACCATGACAGTAGTTGATGAGAAGTTGGTGAAACTAGATGACTTGTTGGGTAAACCTGGTTTATAAACTGGGACAATTTTAATGAAATCACAGACACACTGCCAGGCAAGGGTTTGCTCCATGACACGATACCGTGTTAGTGTAGAGTGTCATAAAAAAAAGCACATACTTGCTTTGTGAAGATTATTCACTGGCAATAAGGAATTCAATGCTAACCACATTGAGGTTTTCTCATTCCACATACATGCCATCCTCCACAAATGGTCTTGGAATTCTTGCTTCCTGCAGGCTGTCTATCCATTGGTTTGATTTCATAATGCAATTTCATATTTTTGTCTTTTTACTGTGAAGTTCCATTTCAGATTGTACATGAATTTGTTTGGGCCAAACTCAGTTAGGCCCTCCTTAAAAATGTGCTAGGAACTGTATCTTGCTCCTGTTGTTCCAAATAAATGTTTTTTTCTAAGAATTCTTAATTTACTTGATAACGTAATGTGTATGTTGAATGACTTATGTTTCATAATTTCTTCTCCATTACAAAAATGAGATGACATTATATGATAAAATCACTGGAATATTCAAAAAGATAAGCTATGTTTCAGTCAAGAATAAATTTACTTGGTATAAAAAGTATATTTTAAAAGCTTCCTATCTAAATTACGTATAAATATTTTCATCATTAAAATGCTGAGACTGTCATCACTTCAATGCCCTTAGTAGAAATCCTGGAAGGGGTTACAGTTTATAACAATCACATTTTCAAATTCCCAGGCATTTTCTCATATGAATCAACATTCAAACTTTTTTGGCCTACTTGGGCTAAATAAAACAATTGTCTGCTCTCAAGTTAATAAATCTGAGTTATATACAAAAAATAATTAAAAATACCATCAATATTGCAATTAATACTAATACATGAAATCATTCATTTTCCATTTTACAGAGAAAATGCATGATTCCACCCAATTATTTTGGTCAGTTTTTGTCATATAAACTAAGTGTTGTAACAAGCAAAAACATAAAATTACTTTATATACATTCACTATATGGACCCCATCAATAGTGGATGTTACAAAAAGTAGGAATGCAATTTTAAGATTAAACAAATGTATAAATATGTCAAAGCTGCATGTGAAGGTTTTCAAAATCAACTAGATAAAAACAGCAACACTATGGTCTTTATAAGATTAAACATTCTTCACCATTTAAAAATAAAAGTACAAAACTAACCTGACATAGGAGTGTGGAGATTTGAGAGGGTTTGGTGAGAATAAGACCAGTATGTAAAGGGGCGAATAACCACTCTTATTGAAGAATAAGCAGGAAGGGTTCTCATTGAAGCAGAACTGATGTATGGCTTTTTTGTATACTGTCAAGAATGCAAATTTTACTTTTTGGATTAACAATGAAATAATTTGAACACAATTAATGAATAACACCTTATTAAGTTTACCATTAGTTTGATTTTAGACAAGAAGAAAAAACATTAATTCAGTATGACAAAATAAACCAGACACTGCATAACAAATAACTAATTAGATAGCAAATTATAGTGACAATAATATTTGTAGTCAAACTTTGAAATATTTTGAAACTTTTCTAAATAGCATTAAAATTTCATGTATTAATGAACACATTTTATCAACTTACCAGTACATATGGCTCCAGCCCATCATCTATTTTCACCTTATAAAACACTTGACCATAATTTACTCTCTTTGAATTAGGCCAAGATATAGTAAAGTTATCCCATTTACCAGTGAGAAGGACGTCATTTTCAGAAATTACTTCTGGAATTACATTTACACTTTTGGGATTTGTCTCATCTGTAATTTAAAAGCAACTAATTAATTAGTTAAATAAGTTTTGTAAGCATCTAAATTAATGCAGAGAAATTCTTCTGGGTATGAAAAATGGAAAATGTTAAGTATCTTTGTTTTTATGCAAAATTAATTTTGATGAGCATGTCCTATCTTGAACAGTATTTTGAATCATAGGAAAATCAATTAAATATTTTTTTGTATATATATATGACATCTACATTTAACATTTTTTTAAATTGATTTTAGTGACAACAAGTTATCAGAAATAAATGCTAAAATCCTACTCACTCTGACATTACATTATTTCATATTATTCTAACTATTACTCTAATTTCAGCTCAACACCGATGTCACTACAGACATGTCTTTAAAAGTTTACAGACAATCTAACAGATAAATGAGTAAAGTTCACAAAAATATAAGTTATTGGAATATAAATGGCAATACAATTATTTGAGCTCTAATGAACATAAATCAACTTCAACATGTTTAAACATACTACCTGAATTTTTTTAATACTTTCATTACCAGAAGGAATATGTCTAAATAACTGAAAACTGAAATCCATTCAGGATTCAAACCCAGGACTCCAGGGTTGGATTTAGGTGATATAAAGCCCACAGGCCTTATATTAATGTAGGACCCTTTCAATACAATGTATAAATAATCCTCTTTTAGGTCAAAGAATAGTTTTCACACTGAAGAAATTGGTTTGAATTGCATATAAAAAGAAGGGCAGACAGCCAACTGTGTGGCTTTGTGCTAAGGTAAAAACAAAACAAAAACAAATATATAAATAACAATGAACTTTTTATTTAATGTACACTATTTCTTGAATTGCTATAATTAGAAAATTAGCAAAAGATAATGTACCAACAATATGTTGTACTATACAATTACTGTAAGGAAATCAATATCTCACTAGTTGTCGGTACTATTAAGCAAACATAGTGTAATTTCAACATTTCAAAATGTTTCTTCAATTCCTCAACTTTTTGGAATCTTATAAAAGTTCTCTACTTGTTTTGACAAACTGACATTACCAGAAGAGAGTGAATATACGAGCCAGTTCTGTTCTTCATCTCTCCATTAGATATTTTCCTAACAAATAAGCTTGTGTTAAGTAAATGTCTTCATTTTTCCTTGCTGAAGTAGTAAAATTACTTAGACTCTGTAATGGTACATTTGGAACAAATTGTTGATAAACTTGGTCATTCATGTTCATCTATTCATCTAGATCTGAACAACAAGGTATTGCACTATCACAGTCTCTAAGACCTACACTACTAGATGTTGTTGTGGTCTCATCTGTCACAACTGATCTGGCACAGACTCCTTCTTAGAAAGGAGAGAACTTGTCAGAGGGGAACCACCAATTTTGTCCTTCTTTGGCTGTGACTGTACAGATAAAGATGGACTCATCTTTGGCATTTTCTGCAAAACAGTGTTATTACAATGTGCCTTCTCTGCTTGCAGAAGTTGTTTCTGATGGCCACTTGCATACTTTCTCTCAGTATCTTGATGAAAGCCAGACATAGATACAAATACAGTTGCATGGATTCCACAAAATTCACATTAATTGTTAAGCTAATTTGTTTTGATAGGCTTATAATAATAATAATTTCTTAAAGTGCAAAGCTATATTAATAGTTCCTCACTGACATTACTTCCATTACATCAAACCAATAACTTTATCAAACCTTCTAATTTCTAGTCAGTAATTATGCCTTTCAATACAGCATAGATTTGCAAAGAGCAAGTTATTTGATTATGAAGCACAACAAGAAATGTCATTATGTTTCTGTGGGTGCTTGAAATCATTCAACAAAGTCATGTAATTTCTGCTTAAGAAAACATGTCCTAAATTTAGGCAAACTGAGAACTTATAGCAGCATTCTTTTTTCTTGGGGAGGGGGGGATAAGTTGACTTTTTGGCATCTAGTAATGGAAATGGAGAGTTTTCTCCTCCTGTTAGTTAAAATAGTCATGTGTTGCTATTTAAATAAATCACACAACTAATATTCAGAAAACTGGAATTGAGAATCACAAGATTTGTACCCAAAACTTGTCTTTCGACAGTAGAAACAGTAAAGTCTTTAACTAAAGCTTAAATACCTGGATATGGATGAAGAGATTGATGAACAACAGCCAAACTTTGAATACCATACAACCCAAGACCACTCATCCTTGCAACATTCTGTCCTTCCATGTCACTAAGCAAAGCTTGGTTCTCCTCTTGTACCCAAAACAGTCGATTACTAAAGTAATGAAGAGGGCCTTTTCTACAGATATTGAAAATTATGCAGATTCAATAAAACATCAAAGTGGTATGTTACCAAAGTTTCATTTTATTATAATATCTTACAAACATCTTAAACATTAAACAACACGTAAGTGTAAAATATTATATACAAAGTTTCATATGTTAACATTTCTCTTACCTGAAAATGTATTACCAATAGGTACTCACCTATTCACACAGAATAGATTTATTCCTCATGCATCTGGCTATGAAAGTTGCAAGCCACTAGCCTTGAGCTAACCCCAACCTAAAAAAGCACGTGTTTAACATGAACTGTGCTACTGCATGATGACATAATCATGCAAAGATAACCCTTCACCAATAGGAGGATGACACAACCTCATTGCACAGTAGCTCCCCATAAGAAATGCACTCAAAATAACATTCTTAGATGAGACAAGAAGAAATTGCACCAGAAGTGAGGAGAATGGGTGGGAAGAGGTGAGTATCTATTGAAATACATTTTTAGGTAAGGAAAATGTTAACTTTTGAGACTATATTTCATTTCTGCACACAGAATAGCTCAAATCCCACATTGAAATGGTGGAGGGGCTGGTGCATACATTAAATCTAGATTAGCTCCCTTCAGAAGGTGCCTGAAGAGAAAATCCATGCATTGTGACACCTGATGGAAGTGACTCCATACAGGCACACCCATGGAAAATCTCATCCCTCATCTCATCTTGACCAGAGTATACTCTTTGTCCAGTAGGAAAGATGGAAAGGCAAAAAGAGCTCTAAGTGTTGCAAAGATGGGTGGAATTTTTGCATGACAAACCAAGCACCCATGCACAAGTGGTTGCCAAGTCAAGAAGTGTAGTGTGGTTAAGGTGTGATAAAACCATTTGGTGTGTGTTTGACCTCAACTCAACTGGACAGAGATGAGGGTGAAGAATCCATCCCACTGCAGAAGGAGAGCACACTAGCTGCACTAAAAAGACACTGCCCTACTTTCCACTGAATTGTGCTGTACGCAATCAGTGAGGAGCTCTCTCAGGTCCACCACCCCAGTGGTTAGAAACTGGTAAGTGGCAAGGCTATGCCATGCTCCACTTGAAGAAGGAGGGAATTTGAGTTGGAAAGACCCAGAGAAGTGTTTGAATCCTCATCAGATGTCACAGGAAAGATCTTTTACTGGAGACTGTGCAATAGGTAACCACAACACCCTATTTTTAAAAGCTTGCAAGAGCAAACCTGAGATGTGGGCAGTCACTTCCCTGGTGCTGGCTTTTTCCATGATAGTCCATGAGAAGTACAGTCTGGATTAGGTAATTAAGTAATTTTAATGCCATAAGGATACCCCTAGTGATCCTGCAGAACACCCCACCTCAATAGTTGGCACTGGTAAAGCCAGGGAGGATAGATCAAGCTCTTTCAATTACCTCTGACCTGATGCAGATTTTGGGAAATAAGAATAACCTCGAAAGTAACACCAGCCACATGGCAGGATCCTATAAGACAATCTATAGATTGAAGAAATGTGACTGGTAGGAGTCCAAATCCCGTAGGAGACAAAACAGCCAAATGATGAAGATGATGATAGACAAACATGTGTGGATTTATCCAGATATCAGCCTAAAGAATCTCGTCCAAGGGTTGGGCAAAATGAGATGTAAGAGAGTAAGACAGGTTATGAATCTGAAAGGACAAAATGTGAAAAACCCTGCAAGAATCAATATACAGGGAGGAATTAACCAAATGGAGGAGTTAGCAGACCCATCCAGTCAGGTTAGAAGGCGAGAAGTTCCCGAACAAAGAGGGATTTCAAGGCAGAAACAAATGATGAAAGGAACCCTGCAAAGAAAAAGTCTGTACCAAGTAACACTGAACACCCTGAACCAAATACAGAAGATGATCTGAGTCCAAACAAACATAGAGATGAAAAATTGAAGGGATGGAGATAGGAGAGAAAGTCTTAGGAAGAAAGACTTGGTCTAGGGAGAGAAGTAAATAAGTACTCTGAAAGATAGTGCAGAAAGCCTCAATGGCATATATATCCAAATGAAGGCGACCACAGGCAAGAAGGAAATATGTCTTTAGAAAAAGATGGTATAAGGAACATGAAACCAATGGCTCAAATGGAGCATGTTGAACCACATTAAGGTTCAAGTCAGGCATGGGAGTAAGACAAGGGGGATGGTGAAGAAGGAAGAAGCAGAACAAAGTGAAGATGGCAGGGGAAGAAAATACTCGGTGGTAACAGAAAAGGCAAAACGTTGTTGAGAAAGCTACTCTATAATCAGCAATGGTGAAAACCAACAATCCATGGTCAAACAACCATGTGAAAAAGGCCAAAGTGGGTTATGAACAACTTGCCACTTCTGTTGATAGACAGACAAAGTTGAAGAAATAGGATAAGAAAAAAGGCTAAACAATCGGATTGTGCAGGCCAAAGAGGCACAACCAACAGGAACTGACAATGAGTGTCATTTATTAAATGACTCTGCATAGACCCTAATATAAGGTGAAGGAGGGAAGACAAAGTGGTCTTGAGTGTGGATTTCATGTAGTAAAGAACAGGAGGAAGTGAAATCATGTCAAGAAAGCAATTAGAAGGGTGAGGATTTTCCTCCACAGATAAAGCAGTACCTAGAGCAAACTTTGGGAAAAAGCCAGTAAAAACCATCGTCATCCTGGTCTTGTTCAAACTAGAAAGAAAAAAACATAAGCCAAATGGACAAGAGAAGGAGGCCTAGTGTGCATAAGAGAACCCACAACTTGTTGAACAATGG